AAAGTATGTCAAGTTGTGCCAGATTTCCAGTCAATTGATTTACCGTGAAAATTACCAATGCAAATGATAAATAGTTAAGTTTTTTGTTTTTTTTTTCACATAGAATAACAATAAAAACTAGAAGTGGGCATTAGCGCACAAGTTTCCAGTGTCTATGTGTGACCGAGAAGTCGCGGGTTCAAATCGGGCTCAAGTCTTGAAGCGGGCTCTTATCAAAATGACAAGAGAAGGCTTGCCCCCTACATCCTTTGTAGTGAGACCCTTCACCGGACCCTCGCCTTGCGGGGACACAAATGTGCTCCGGCTGCCCTTTTTTAAAATAAAAACAAAAACATTGGTTTTGACTCTTATCTTTTTTTCCTTCCAATAATCTTCTATGTTTTCCTCCATATTTTCTTTCACGAGTAGTGTGTTTATTCCAAACTGACCCTTTATGTGGCCATTATATAATATGTTCATTATTTAGGATAAATATCACATTGATAATATATATTTATAACTCCCTCAGTCCCTTAAAATCTTGACAGTGTTGACTGACGCGTGGAATAAGAAAGTATAAACCGTGTCTGATTTCTGTGCTGAATAAAGACGTAATATTAACCGCGAATTAGTTACTTTAGAGTTTAGACGAAAAGTAACAAGTTTTATGGACATCGAAATTGGGACAATTGCCACGGTTTATTGGGATGGGCGAAGTACTATATGAACCAACATCATTAAGTTATGGAGTCACTGATGTATGCAGCTTTGATCTACTAAGAGTGTTTCTCTTTTGTGCATATGCAGACAAGCTCAGTTGAGATAGAGCGTGTTTGCAACCTGGCTGACAAAAATATTGTTGAAACAGCTGCTGTCAGTGCATCACCGGCAACTGGTGGCCCCGAACAATTAGTTATATTTGTGATAGTCAAAGAGGGATTTAAGGTTTCACCGTTAGAGCTGAAGACTAAATTTTCAAGATCCATACAGAGCAACCTTAATCCTTTGTTCAAGGTTTTTTTTCTCTTTAACTTCCTTGGAGATTTTTGGGTGCTTTATTAAATTCTTAATTCATTTCTTCTGCATATGTTTTGCATTTTGTACTCTGTAGTCACTAGTAATTTAACTAATCCTCCAAAGCACAACCATAACTCCATAATGGAAGCACACAATATATACTCACGCTCATTTTTTCCTGTGGGTCACTTGTGAAAAAAATTAAATGAAATACTCACTTTCCAACTTTACCCAAATCTCTTGTTTTTGTGGTATATAATACTCCCTTCATCTGGTTAAGGTTGGTTTTTCTAAATTGTTCTTACTTCATTTTCACTTGATAATCATGTCACCTCCTCTTATATCAATGATAGGGGCGAAGGTAGTAACTAGTTCAATGTACAGTAATAATAATAACTAGTTAAATGCTTCGAATATTCTACTAAAGGGTAATATAGTCTTTTTGTATCCATATTTTGTATCCATATTAACCTTGAATAGAATGAAATGGGGGAATATTTTAACATAAAATGCTGACATTTGAGATCAATGGAACTGATATGCATGTTCAATCTTCCCCCATTGATCATTAGGTGAGCGCTGTAAAGATTGTTCCTAGGTTCCCACGAACAGCTTCAAATAAGGTAATGAGGAGAGCTTTAAGGGATATATGGAAGCAGGAGGTTCTTGGGACGCAGAGTAAGCTTTAGCTGAGGATGTGGACAGGACACCCGCATATGTAATCAAGAAATGAACATATACAGAACTTGGTCGGTTTCTACCCACCCTACCCTAGGAGTCTCCCGAACATAAAATTGTTTAGGGTTTTTCCTTAAAATATTAATTCCAATAAACTTTGTCATTTCTTAAATTTGAATCATGACTATAATATTATGGAAGTTATAAATTTTATACTTTTATGTAACTACTTTTAATAAACAATATTTCCATATATTTTTTATATTATAAAAAAATTCCAATAAAAAGATATAGTTGGTCAAAGTTTTAAAAATGGCAAATATTTTTTGAACGGATGTAGTACTAAATTGAAGTCAATTTCCAAAAATGTGATTACTCTTAAATATTGATAAAAATGTGATTAATAATGTCATATATGGAAAACATGATGTCACTGCAAGTTTATTGTGTCATTGTGATTTTTTGTGGCACTAAGGTGGTGTTTGGCAATTGGTTGTGGGCTATTGTCACTGCAAGTTTATTCTGTTGGTTGATTGATGACAGTGAGTTTTGTTTGCTCTTTTGATTAGTTGATAGTATTAGCTGTTTATAAAATAGTGTTTGGTTAAACGACGGTTTACAATCGGCTGATAACTTGTTAACTTGCTTTTAAGGACATCAATTAAATTTGGGGAAAAGGTGCAAATGGGCCCATGTACTAACCAAAAAAGGTCAAATAATCCTTATTTAGGAGGTTCTGTCTGGCCGTTGTCATTTGGGGTGGTTCCCGGTGGAATTTTTTGATGAAATTTTTTGAGCATCTTATTCGTCAAATCTAGTATACTCATATCAAATTTCAGCTAAAACTTCATTCGGGAAGGCATTCAAATGAATTCTTGAAGATAACTGCGCTTTTAAATGTGCAATTATTTTCAAGAATTCATTTGAATGTCTTCCCAATTGAAGTTTTAGCTGAAATTTGGTATGAGTAAACTAGACTTAATGAATAAGATGCTCAAAAAATTTCATCAAAAAATTCTGCCGGGAACCAACCTAAATGGCGACGGCCGGACATAGCCTCCTAAATAAAGGCTTATTTGACCTTTTTTTGTTAGTACATGGGCCTATTTGCATCTTTTCCCATTACTTTGTTTTGTTTACTAACTACTTTTATACTCCGTATATGTTTCACACATTTCGATAATATTATTAGTACAACTAATTTAATCCATTTTTATTTAATAAAAATATAACTTTAAACATGAATTTTAAAGAAGAAATTTAACACAAAAATTAACATCTAAGATTGAAATCTACATTTTTTTCTTGACTTCCAAGAGCCCGCTAGTAGCCGTCCCTTTTCTGCTTGCCTTGCGGAAGAGAGTTGCTCTCTTTTTCTATATACTCCCTTTGTCCCTTACAACTTTGCCAACTTTCCTTTTTGGATGTCTCACTAACTTTGCCACTTTCCCCTTTAAGTAAATAATAATTTGTGGTTCTAGTTAATTCTTTCTCCTCTGCACAAACCTCAACCACACAGTTTTTACTTTATTAATTCATGTGCCGGTCAAACTTGACAAAGTTTTAAGGGATGAAGGGAGTATGAAATACAAGTTCATTGTGGCCTGTGCTTTGAATACTCCAGCATTAAACGTCAAAACAATGATTGAAATCATAGTATGGGTTTGCTGTTTTATTAGACTTGGTTTAGGAGAAAGTCTGATAGTTTGGTGTAGGAGAAGCATCTGATGCTGAAGAAGAAAGCTTGCTCAATGGCCGTTTTTTTTTTGCGTAGTGTGGAAGATGAAGTGACACACGAAGAGAAGGGAGGCAGTGCATGTAGTATAGGAATTTGCAATAGAAATTCAAACGGCCAACACCCTAAACGTCAGATTTATTAGCTTTTTTAACTTTGGCTGTTTGAGATAAAGAGTCAAGCAAAAAGGCCAATTGACCAAACACCCCTATTAGCTGCTTATCTGGTCAAAAGGCCAAATATCAGTTCAATCAGCCAAAAAATGGTTGATTGCCTATTAACCAAACACCCCCAAGAGTTGTCACTATTGGATTTTCATGTCACTTACAGATGTCTTTATCGCCGTGAAACGTGTTACACTGATTGCAGGAAAAAAACGGTGATCCGACAAAACAGTGACCTCCATGGCTGGTCAGTGACTATCCAACATTGTCGCCTGCCACCGCCGTCTTCTTGTAGACCGCTCATTGCCCCTGCCCTTCCCCATCCCCATGCCTCAACACTCCAAACCCAGTGACCATCACCCAATCTAGTGCTGGACGTCACCTTCGAGACTGCCTCGTACTTGCACCTTCCTTAGCCCCAGCCCCCTCCCTTGCCCTGTCATAACCCCCATATCCAGCACCCTTCCCAACGTCTAGCCACCTCCTCAACCCAACTTCCCAACCCTAGCCCCCTCCCCAATCACAGCCACGCCACCTGCAACCTTAGCCATCCAAAATTAGTTGAGCCGCCGCTCCCCTGCCATTTGTTGCCGCCATCGTCGAACGCAGATCTCCAAATTTAATGTGCCGCCGCTGCTAAGATAAAATCTTAACCCTATCTCCCTTACTACCATCAGCACCGCCTCAGTCCCTCGTCTGCAACCGTACCCTCACTCTTTGCCCCGTCCCCAACCCTTGGTCTGCCCATGTCCAGCGCACTAGACACTAAAGTTCGAACTCACCCCCTTAGGGTTCACAATCAACAGCCTTTGTTGCCAATGTTGTCACAGAGAAAGAGAAGAAAATGAAGAGAAGGATGTATGGCAACGGAGTGCAGACCGAAGGCCCATCAAATGCAAGGTGAAATGGCAGAGAAGTGGAAGAGACTTGCGAAGAAGATTGAACGATGTGAAGACACTTTTCTATCCAAATCAGCTTTAGTCATATCTTTGTCCAATTAAGCTGAGAAGTCCCTCGATTACCCGCTAATATTCATGCCATTTTTTCAGATATTTATGTACATGTATACTCTCTTGGTTTGTTGTTGAAACTTGAAAGTCCCTCGATTACCAAGTGTAGACGTGGTCATTTTTGTCAACAATTGTGGCTTCTAGGGTGCTTCACCCGATGACTCCTGCAGCTAGAGGTAGGATCTGTCTGATCTAGGTATTGCAATATTTGGTATGGATGAAGTATTATATAATAATTGGTGGAGAAGCCTCAAATTGGACACTATGATTTTATGAGAATCTCATATTGGACACTAAGGTTTTAAATGGACCAAATTGGACACTATGATTACATATGTATCTCATATTAGACACTGAAGTTCATATTTTGTTGTGTACCCGAGACCGGCCCGGGCGGGTGGCCCAATATGGACCAAACGTGTTAAGTTTAGTTTAATTCATCTGTAAAAAATGACAAGGTCCACCCCGATCTACGTTTCATCAAGAATTCCACTTCAATGACTGATGATTGACCACCAAATTAACGTATTTACAGATTTAGCACGGATGAACAAAAAACTGATACAAATCAGTCCTTGATGATTACAACAAAACTATGAAAAGGCAAACTACCACAAAGCACTAAAAGAGACCCATATCCATGTAGTCATCAAAGAACAAAAATCATAGTGCCATCATTATACTGCTGGTGACCCGCGAACCACTTTATGGCCATATTTCACACCGCTTACACATTGCATTTGAGACAACCAAGTCATACTGGTACTCGCTTTCCCCGGTAACGATCAAAGAACTACATACATATGCATGAAGAGCAATGAAGGGCATTAGATATGCCAATGATCTTCAAGAGCTATATAAAATATTCTAGGTTTTTTTGTTTTGTAAATGAACATGATTCAAAGAGCTATCCATGATTCCTAATTTCTAGGAGTGATTATATTTTTACTTAATTTGTTTCAGAACCACATCAAAACCGCATCTCTTTTATTTACACCTAAACTTAATTGTTTAACTCAACCAATCTAATACTTATATTTTATGATTCTTAAAATCAAATTCAGAACCATCATTTTGCTAACAGCCTCTTAAAATGCTTCAGAACAGGCATCACATTTGGCACATTCCTATTACTCACCAACTACGGAGTACATAGTATAATATTTTACTCCATGCGTAATGCGTTTAGAAAAAGAGGCCTCACAAATTAAGTAAAGCCTACTTTTCCTATAATTTGCAAGAATAAAAGTCACTTACAAGTCACTTATGATAAATTTAGGGAAACCAATAAAAAAATTAAAATAAAAATTAATGACTTCTGATAATTTTCCTTAGCAAAATAAAAAAGTTATACGGAGAATTTAACATGATTCTTTTTTGGAATGGGGGTAGTAGTTTTAAATTTCAAGCAATGAGAGGAGTACAGCAGATTAGTGATCGTCATGTGGCAAGCACTTAAGTTTATGAATAACAGGATTTAAAAAACTACAAAATCAAATATGGAGTATTATGCAGACTGAGCTCAACAAGCTGATTACATATAAGAAATGCCAATGCATCAGCGCAACTAAATACTCCGTATTTCATAAGACTAGTGATTCAGAAATGTTTCAACAAATGAGAGGTGCCATACCGATCTGACAAAAGGCTGCTGAAAGAGCCACCCGAGAATAGGTATCTTTTGCAGAAAAACTGCCAAAGTCGGCCAGAATCCACTGCAAAATATGTCAGTCAGCAACCTACTAAAACGACTGAAGTCGAAAACTCACACACAAAAGTAGGAGAAGCCACACCTACTCGAATCAATAAAAAAGCATGCCACTAACCTGAAAAGCACAACAAAACCATAAGCCTCAAGAATCATGCCCAGAATAGGCCATCCAATGACAACCAAGAAAAAGCCAACTCCAAATGACATTGTTCCCTGTGCAATGCTTGGAAAATGAGACCAACTACTATACAGACTCGCGTGAGAATATATATGCCTCAATAAATAAGTAAATAAATAAATTAAAGTATGCCATAAAATATGAAGGCACGCAAATTATAAATGTGAGAAACTGAGAACGGGGTGGGGTATGACAAGAAAACAGTAAGAACCTTATAGTTGCTACGCTTCATGAAGAACTGCATGGATGGCTTCAGACCAATTGTTATGGCCACCCCAGATACAAAGAGGATCTGGTTCATTAAAGCAAATGTATGTTAATCGCTTGCGAGAGGACATAAGTGTAGTAAAATGAAGAGGAATTACACAACCGAGATAATCAAGGCTACTCACGTTTCCCATGGCAATTAGCCCCTTGTCGAAGAAGAAAATGATTCCTAAGAATGAAAAGAATACTCCGAATCCTGTCAACCCTAGACCAATCTCTGTTTCATTGAGCCACCACAAGTTCCTTAGAAAACATGGAATTTTGATAGCACACATTGTTTTCACTTTCTATTCATTTAATCTTCTAAAATTCATTCACAATATGATTAACAGAAAAGTGAGAAAACTCAATGATTCTAAATCGGACTAATTGAGTTTAGTTGAGGCATAACTTTTTAGTATAATAATCAAAATCTAAAGTCAATACTAATATTTTGCCTATCAAGTAGAGTGCAGACTTCTTCTTTTCTTTTTTGCCAAAACTCTAGAAGTATGGCTTCTCAAAAGCTCTACTTTCCCTTGTTAAACACTTAATTTGTCTAGACCAAAATGCCAATACGACATTCAAATATTCATTTATCTGGAACCTAAGTAGGAACTCAAACAATCTCTTCTTATCCAGCCTCACCAAGTGCTTCCTTACCGTTTCCCAATTATATCCACACAAAAAACCTCATATTATCATAACCAATGCTTTACTAAGAACAACTTGGGAAGACAGTAAGCCTAACCAAAACTTTCCTATGAAATCAAAGGAAATTTTAGGATCACAAAAATTAACTCCACAAGTATCTATTTCATACTAGAGATCATTTAAAGTTTGTAATAGAGGTGCCCAAATAAAACCAATGGACTTACTTTTACGATCGTTCATCTCGAAGGAAACCATTTCCGCAGATTCAGAATAGTCGGACAAGATAGGAAACTAAAAAACGCTTCGACGAGCGAGAAGAGAAAAAAGAAGTTAGAAATAGACCTAGACTAGAAAATCAAGCAAGATCTGGTTCAATTCCCAACTCGACGGATAAATTCAGAGATCCGGCCGTAAATAGACGCGTATATACGTGGAAATGAATAGAAAGCGCACCGACTATGCAGCCGGTGATGTGGTAGCGCTGTCCGAGCAGATTGCCGGGGAAGATGAGTACGTATATTGTACAACCGGCTGTACGGTGAGCACCGTACAGCCGGCCCAATAACAGACCCAGGGGGAAAATAGCAAAATAATTCGGTGGCATTTTTGTAATAATGTGAAAATCGCGGTTTCTACTAAATGAGCATTAGTGTACTGTTATTGAGCAATAATCCAAATTTAATGAGTATTAAACGTCTAATAATGAGCACCATGTTATTAAAAGAAAGCTGATATCAGAACTAAAAAACGGTGGCATTTTCGTAATTTCAGTGAAAATCGCAGTTTTTGTTATATGAGCATTAATACACTTTTAATGAACATCAGGCGTATTCTACTGAGCACTAAGAGTCAAATAATGAGCTTCGTGATCTCTCCTTCATATCTTGTAATTCACTTTCTTTTTCTTTCTTTTTCTTTTATAAAAACTTATTAAATAATATCTATGATGAAATTCTATAAACTTCAATATGCAAATTTAATGTAATATGGTACTTTTGAAATATGCATTGATATGTCATTTTAAAAATGAGCATAATATTAGTATCAAACGAGCATACACAACTTTCAAAATGCGCACAATTCCAAATATGAAAATCGTAAGATTTGTCCGTTGGACGTCACGATATTTTCATTGAGCATCAAACCTCCAATATTGAGATGAAAATAACGGTTTCTGTTAAATGAGCATTAATGAACTTTTAATTAGCACTAGACCTATTCTGTTGAGTATTAGGAGTCTAAATAATATTGAGCATCATAGTTTCTGCTTCATATCTTCTAATTCACTTTCTTGTATAGAAACTTATTAAATTATGTCTACAATCAATTCCTATGAAATTCCATATATTAATATAATGTAATATGATACTTTTGAGATATTCATTGATATGACATTTTAAAAATGAGCATAAGATCATTACGATTGAGCATATGTAGCTAACAAAATAAGCATTAATATGAAAATAATAAGCTTTGTTAGTTGAGCATGAAGACATTTTTCATTGAGCATTAAACCTTCTCTATTGAGTATTAGAAGCGTGCAATTGTGTACTAATTGAGCATTTGTAAATTATAAAATGAGCATTAGTAAGAAAATCATAATTTTTTTAGTTGATCGAGCATCAAGACATTTTCGTTGAGCATCAAATCGCATCTATTGAGTATTAGAAACATGCAATTGAGTATCATGGTTTGTGTTCTCGTATACGTAATTAACTCTTACTTGAATCTAATGTAATATGTTACTTTTGAAATATGTATTGATATAACATTTAAATATGAACATAACATCAGTACCAAATAAGCATACATAACTTACTAAATGATCAATGATATAAAAATCATAATCTTTGTTAGTTGAGCATCAAAACATTTTCGTTGAATATCAAACTTTCTCTATGGAGTATCTGAAACATGCAATAGGGTATCATAATCACCCCTCCCATGTACATAAAATAACTCTAATTTTATGCGAATCTAATATGAAACTTAAATTTTGAAATATGTATTAATATGACATTTTAAAATGAACATAAAATCAGTATCAGATGAACATATGTAACTTACAAAATGAGAATTGATATATAATTTAACTTACAATGAGTAATATCATAATTTTAAATTAAAAATAACATATAGTATTTTGTTCTTGAATAACAAATATAATCGAGTTTTTTTAATGATATTTACCCATGCACATTTATTTAACACTATACTCATTTTAGTATAATACAAAACTCATGTTAATAATTAACACATAATATACATATATATATATTAAACTAACTAATATTCATTTTAAAATTAAAAATAGAAGAACAAAACATTAATACATAAAATATTTTATAATGCATAAACTAAAAAAAATTAAATTAGAATTTTGATTAGAAAAAGAAGAAAAAGCATTGAATAAAAATTAAATAAAAAATACTTCGTGTTACTCGGTAACAACAAAAGGAATGAAAACTGAAAAGTTACAAAAGTGAAAAGCAAGAAAAGAAAGTCAAAAGCAACGAAAACGAAAAGAAAGAGAAAACAAAAAACGAAAAAGAATAAAGTCGCATGCAGCAGCCATCAACGAAAAGGAAGGAAAATCAACGTAAGAGTGGCAGCGGAAAAAGAAAACCAGCAGCGATCATGCACCTAACGTTTACCCTATAGATTGAACTTAATTACAAAAAAAACCGGCTGTACCCGGAGCATGGTACAGCCGGCTGTACGGTATATATTACCCGGGGAAGATGGGGTGAGAGAATGGATTTGCGGGAGATAGGGGGGACTCTAATTACATGCCAAAACGGAATCCGCCCGCTGGCGTTTATGCCCGACTTTAACTCAATTAACTGAGTTAAGCAACACCATATGAATATATTTTGGGTTTTATGCGCCAAAATATACATATAAAAACGCAGTCAACTTCAAAAAATGATTTGAATGCCTTTCTGATCGAATTTTGAGCTGAAATTTGATATGGATAAACTAGACTTAGTGAGTAACATGCTCAAAAAATTTCATCAAAAAATTCCACCGAGAAGGGCCCCAAATGGCCATGTTCGGACGGAGGCTCCTGTCCGAACGTGAGGACCTGAACATTTCCGTAAATACTAATACCATTTTCCTATGACGGACTATATGGTGAGCACAATATAACTGGTGATATTTTTTGCAAGGGAAAAGGGGCAAGTCTCATGAAGTTGTCACTAAAGTGCAACTATTTTTTTATGCAAAAAACTTTAAAATCCTTAAAAAGAGAGCAATTAGTCCCTTTGTTGAACGGTGAAGAACTAACATGTATGGTACCGTTAATATTAAAATGACATGGACTGTTTTTACTTTTTTTAGTATAAATTAATAAAATAGTGGGGCAGATTTGCTTGATACTCTAAACTGATTAGGGTCGACTTTTCTTCAGGCTATCGGAACTAAAGTCCTTGAATTGCTGATTTCTCTTGACATAAGCCGTCTTCCTCCCCCCCCCCCCCCCCCCCCCCACCCCTTTGTTGTAAACATTTTTTTTAAATCCCAGAGAACCACCAAGCAGTGGGGTAAGAGTCGGGAAACTCTTACCGAGTTTTATTAAATAATTGATCAAAAAGCAAGTACAACGCCAATGAAGGAAGAAAATCAGAGAACAAAATCAAGCTAAAGGGGAGAAAAAAACTAAAGAAAATTGAAGTAAAACAAGCATCCACCCGCTTCAAGCGATAGTAACCCAATCAGACAGCTAGCCTCAATTTGTTTGGCAAGTGTTAAGAGAAATCCAATTTACTCATCTCCCAGAACTCCCCAACACAACTCTGTCATTTCCTTTTCCTTTGTTTCCCAAGGGTATCAAGTTGTCTACCCTTTTCCTTTTAAACATCGAATGTATATATCCCCGGGGAATGATCCTATTGAGTAGGAGGGATAGGACCTTCTGGCCGCCCGCCGCCTTTTGAGACGGTTCTCGGTGGAATTTTTTTATTACGAGCCCGTTTGGTGAGCATGTTTTCTGACCTATCAGATTTATCAATCAACTTTTTCACAAAACACGTAACTTTTGATTTCACGCGCTGAATTGTACGTAGTATAATAGTAAGAAAAAGTAAGGTTAGAGTTACTTTTCTAGCTATATTGGCTGAAGTTACTGTAGATGATCATATTAGTTATTTTTAATATATTTTTTTCTTTATTTTATGGAAAAAGATTCAAATAAGCCCTTGTACTATTTCCAAACCGTCACTTAAGCCCCTGTACTAAAAAAAGTATCATATAAGTACGCCTACTTTACAAAATGGATCAGTTTGACCATTTAATCGGCTTTTGACCTGTAATACCAGGTTTTTAATACTTAAAATTTCTAAAAAAATGTTAAAATTTGAAGAAATATATACAAAAATCGTGATAATTTTCAGAATATCAAAGTCAATATTTTTTATTTTTTAAAAATATTTTTATATTCGACACCTATTTAAATGGTTTTTAAAGTTTTTATTTTTTCTTTTTTTATTTTCACATTACTTTTTGAGTTTTTTTTTTTAATTTTTTACTCTAATGTTTTTATATGAATTTATATTAATTTTTGTTAAGATTTATCAATATTCCTAATTTAATTTTAAAAAAATAACATGCTATAGCAGGTCAAAGGGCTTGGTTGATTGAATTTTAGAAGTAGGCGTACTTATATGATACTTTTTTTAGTACAGGGGCTTAAGTGGCGGAATAGAAATAGTAGAAGGGCTTATTTGACCCTTTTTCCTTATTTTATTAATAAAATATATTATATATATAATTTTTCATAAATCAGCAAAATCAGCCAATACAGTCACTTCATTCGGAACTTCATAAATATCAGCTGAAATAGCCGATTCAGCCGATTTCAGTGTTACCAAACGGGCTCTAAATTTTTTGAGTATGTTCCTCATCAAGTCTAGTTTATCTTCAAAAGAAATCAGTTAAAAATTCGATCGAGAAGGCAATCAAATACTACTTTGAAGATAACCACGCCAAATTATACATATAAAACACAGTTATTTTCAAAAAATGATTTGACTGCTTTCCTGATCGAATTTTTAGCTGAAATGTTTTGTGAATAGACTAGAATTGATGAGCAACACGCTCAAAAAAATCATCAAAAAATTTCACCGGGAACCGCCCAAACGTCGGCAGCAAGACGGAGCATCTTGTCCCTCTAACCTGAATTTTTTCAGTCTTAAGCATCGAGATGCATCATAATAATTCTGCTGGTTAGTTTTGTTAAACGTTTTCTTCTAATTCTAAAATAGGTCTTTATAGTGTTTTTTTAATTATTTGCAACCCTTTTAACATATTTATTGTATGTATGGTACGTCCATAGCAGTCAAAGGAGTAACTTTAACACCTACCAATTCTGTTAAATAATTCTGTTAGTTAAAGGGGGTGATTGCACTCCCTTTCAAGGATTTTAAAGTTTTTTGCCCAAAAAAATAGTTAAAGGGTATAGTTGCACTTTAGTGACAAGTTCAGGGAGATTTTTGCCCCTTTTCCCTTTTTGTAATTTAAGTGAAGTACAAAGTGATTATTCCCAAAGAATACAACCAAAAAGGAGGGTTTGATTACTTTAATGTTTATTCACTTGTTACACGAATAACTTCAATTTGAATGTTACTAGAAATAGCTGCATTGAAAAAAAATGAAAATTCATCAAAATGGATGTAAAACTCCATTCTTTTAATGGTAACTTATAGAAAAGAAGATTTTTCCATTAAAAATATCCTTATGGGTTAAAGCTAGTCTCCAAGCAAATACATGACAAAATTGATGGTGTAATGTTGTTTAATGAATTTAAAATCAACCAGGTCAACAAGTGTGTTAATGTGAAGGGCAATCATAAGACGTCCTTGTAGAGATAGCTCCATGATATGCCTAGTGTGTCATGTTTTTTTAAAGAAAAACTTACTTCAATCATTATTGTGATATTTCACTGAATCTGAAATGTGAAATCTCACTTAATCAAAACTGTGAAATCCAATTAATATGAACTGCAAAATCTGATTAGATTAAACTAATAAAAATCTGAAAAAATTTAACATATTAAAGTAGTAAATTATTATGATTTTTTTTGGAAAAATGTGACTTATATTAAAATAATAGAACTTAAGCAAGATACAAAACGAGAAAAAGTCATATGTCTACTGTTTACCCTGAAACCAGACTTAGAATCTATCACCTCCGTAGAAGCAATAAGATTCGTTGATCTTGTAATGTGTTAAACTGAGCCAATGACAAGCAAACTAGACTCCTCATCACATGTTTTAAATTCTAGAGTTTTTCTGCTATGAAATAAAAACACAACCAAAACAAAATGCAATTTAAAATAAAAACACAAACAAAATCAAATGGAATTAAAACGGAGTTCACTCGTCTTTTTCCAAACCCCAAACTCTCTTGCAATCTATGACAAGGGTTCAGTAGGGGGGCGAGCCAGCAATACTGTTGCTTCTTCCTCACTCTGCCTCTTATTCATCATGTTCTCAGTCAAGCCTCCACTTTTGCCACCAAACACAGATGACCCCAAGCTTCGCCCATGACCTTCTGATCTCAGCCATGAACGACATCCTCAAAACTCTTCACATGTTGTCAGAGGTGCACGACCTTCGGCAGTCGCAAACCAAACCCCTGTCTTCCGCCCATGACCAACAGTAAACAAGATGATTGTGGTATTCCTAGCTATAGAGATCTTGTTCTCTTTCAATCAAACACAAATCTGGAATAAAAACCCAACGTCGCATCAACCCTTGGCATCGATGTGACACTTCCAAGGAGAAGGTCACAAGTTCGAATCACATCCTAGTTCAAGGATGTTAGCCTTAACAGAATAGATACTATAATAGGTTAGAAAAATTTGCCAAAAAAATGCCAAAAGTGTTGCTAACTTTTATTATTACTACGTAATTTGTTTATTAAATTTACAAATCTTACATGCATATATGAACTCGGTCCAGGGGTGGGTGCTTTGAACCGAGATCTAAGACCAACGTCAGTCATTCCTGTTCTGGATCAGTTCAGGTCCAATCTTAGTTTATTTTTTTATGTTTTCTTATTAGATCCGTCCCGATGGACTTCGCCAACTCCGAATTAGGTGAAAATAAGAAAATTAAAACTTGTGGTTGAGATTTGCGCATATGAGAGAGAAACGAGTAGAACCCAAAGTTATTTTAATTGGATAGTGCAAAATTTTCAGACAACCAAAAAGAAAGTTGTCAAAGTCCAACTTTCTTAAACACTCCGGACCCCACTCCAAACATTTTTAGATTTTAAATGGATTCATACCTCTATTGAAATGCTTTTAAGTCTTGAAATGAAAAATAGAAGACCAAACAGGGGTCAGATTAGCTAGTTCCATTCTTCTGGTCTCCAAATACCCTAATTGGGACCAGCGCCTGCTCTTAGACCGAACCGGAAACACCAGTTACGATCTTGATCCCGGTTTCGACCGGTTCGGGACAGTCTGCACTGTTAATTGAGCCCATCCTAGACTCAGTACAAAGACTTCGATCATTATTTGGTTTTTTCTACTACACCGATCACCTTTTTGAAATGTTTGCCTAATTAGCTTTTTCATTTGACTTTCGGTGCCAAAACTAAGTCCCATAAACATGCTCTACCCAAACATCTCTTTCTCCTCGATAGACTGCTTTACTTTTTTGTAATCCATAATTCCATACCCACTCAACGAGAAACATCTTCCGTCGAAGAGTAAAAAGCCCTCATGGGAGCAACTCAGGGCCTTCTCCCGGAGTGAATGTTCTCCTCCAAGGTTCATACTTATAATACGTGTATTTGGAGAAGGTGTTCACCCTGGACAAGCTTTCTATATCTAATAGTGGATATTGCATAACCATTTCTTCTTCGATATACAAGTCTTTGCATAGCTTTCAGCAATGGCAGCCGCTTTGGGCCGGCTAGATCTTATTCTTCGTTCAATAATTTGATCCTTGTTGAACAGATATATGACTCGTTTCTATTTACAAACCATTAATTCTATCAACTACGGAGTAATTAACTAACACAATGAACCAACAATCGACCGAACACACCAAAGTCAATCGAGTTTCACAATTGGGATTGATGGGTCCTCCAATCCAATGTGCGTTTTGTGATGTATCTATCTGGCTCGTCTTGCTTGGGGAACCATCCATAATTGCCAATTGGTGCGTGGAACGTTACAAAAGGGCGGGCAGGTATATGTGATGTAAATTAATAACTCCGAAATAGGAGGGGGGGGAAACAAATCAGAACTTCGAGAAATTAAAGCAAAAGCTCGCCGCTGCCGTTGAGTTTCTCCATGTCTTCCTTGAACGCAGGCATGGCATCTTCCTGCACGTACACCAACACCTTAAACCCACCCTGCTTAGCTCCGGCAGCGGCGGAGTAGGGCAAGAAGTAGCAAGGCGCCACCCCACCGAGCAAGTGCCTAGTGAGAGGGAAGATGGTGACGGGGCCGCCCCAGCCAAAGTCGACAGTGGCGTGGCCGATGTGGCGCCAGTCGGTGAAGCCGCTCACCCGGTTCCCGGGAGTGATCCCTTCATGGAAATGAAGCTCCTGGAAGTCGATGAAGGAGCGGACATAGTCGTCTGTGATGTTGAACTTGCTACGGTTGATCAACTCCGCCGTCTTCCACAGCGGCTGTCGGATGAGATCACCGGGGATTGTTACTCATAATTCTTCTCAATGACTATATTGTAATTTGTAAAAGGAAAATCATTTCAGAGTTTAATTATTTTTTTAAAATAGAAATAAAAAGCTTTTGTATAAAATCAGAATAGTAAAGTAATACAGGGAGTACAAATTAAAGTGAAGTGATGAAATGAATTGAGAATGATACCTTAGCTTGCTCGCCATATGAAAGCACCTAAAGCTTCAAACGTGGTATAGGTTGAGCCGGCGGGTGATGTGTGAAGCAAAGCGGCTTTGAGCCGCTCCTCCTTCATCTCAAAGAACTCTCGAGCCACGCCGCCGCCGGAGCGGGCATACGGCACCGAATCTCTATCCAAGCTCAAGAACTGGTGCACTGGAAACTCAACCCGGGGCGGCTTTCTTGGCCCGAGCAAAGCCGCCCTGTCCCAAACCGGTTCGACCGAGAATGCCGCCTCTCCTCGAGCCACCTCCGCCATCGCGTTGAAGAAGAGCGTGGCCCCCATCCCATCGCACATCGCGTGGTGCACGGCCGTCCCCATCACCCACCCGCCGCACCCGAACCGGGTAACCTGCAGGGTCAACGGGTAGGCCATCGCCACTTCTACACTCGGGTCGGGTACCAATCTCTCCACGAACTTCTCATCCGGGTCGTCCAGATAGTTAACGGAGCCGAGCGTGCAATCCGCTGTAGCCCGCAGCACCCTGACGCCGCCGCCGACCGGGCAACGCAACTCGAGACGGTTATCGCCGTCCCGGCGGCGCAGTGTCCCGGCGAAGTGGAACCAGCGGACGAGCGCGGATGAGAGGGACGAAGTGACAACCTCGAACGGGTCGGCGGCGGCTGCTGGTTTTGAGGTGTGGTGGGCAACGTATACCCGGAGGTAGCGGAAGACGACGTTGAGATTCCGATCGGTGTCGAGGTGGGAAAGAGGGAAGACGACGTGGTGGTCGAAAATCGGCGGAGATGAGGGGCGAACGGTGACGGTTTCTTGGATGTGAACTTCCTCCATTAATTCAATTGGGAGGATTAAGCAATTGATTAATTAATTAATTAATTAATGATAATGTGGATTGTTACCGGGTAGCTGAGTTTTTTCCCGTAGAGGTACATTGAAATCTTATTTCCCAAAGTAGGGTAGTTTTAAACTTAATTCCCAAATAGGGGTAGTTTTTCCCAGTCATCATACCATGTCATCACCCACCCTAATTTCCATTTCCACGTCATTCAGCCACCACATAACATTTCCATGTCATCACATTGACTAAATACAGTATGTTTGAATTAAAAAAAAGGTTGTGGCTAAGGAGATTCGAACCCACGACCAAGTAACAAGAATACCATGCCCTTAACCGCTGCACCACAAATGATTATTGTGATAGTGTCAGATTTACGTCTACTTATATTCACAATGTTCCATGCATGTTTAATTAAAATTAAAGGCTCCTCCATATTATTATTACGGAGTATTATTAATGTTATTATAATAATAATTATTATTATTGTTAGTACTACTATTATATTTATTATTATATTTATTATTATTACTATTATTATTATTACTACTACTAATATTATTATATTATTTATTATCACTATTAGTAGTATTAGTACTACTTTTATTATTATAATTAATTTTATTATTGTCATAATAATAATAGTAATTATAATAATAGTAATAGTAATAATAATAGTACTAATAATATTAAATATAATAATGATAGTAATAATATTAATAGTAATAATAATAATAATACTAATAATAATGAATAATAAATATAATAATATTAGTAGTAGTAGTAGTAATAATAAATATAATAGTAGTACTAACAATAATAATAATAATTATTATAATAACATTAATTATTATAATAACATTAATAATACTCCGTAATAATAATATGGAGGAGCCTTTAGTTTTAATTAAACATGCATGGAAAATTGTGAATATAAGTAGACGTAAATCTCACACTATCACAAGAATCATGTGTGGTGCAGTGGTTAAGGGCATGGTATTCTCAATACATGGTCGTGGGTTCGAATCTCCTTAGCCATAACCTTTTCTTTTTTAATTCAAACAGACTGTATTTAGTCTATGTGATGACATGGAAATGTTATGTGGCGGCTGAATGACGGAAATGGAAATTAAGGTGGGTGGTGACATGGCATGATGACTGGGAAAAACTACCCCTATTTGGGAATTAAGTTTAAAACTACCCTACTTTGGGAAATAAGATTTCAAAGTACCCCTCCCCGGGAAAAAACTCCTGGGTAGCTGCTGCTATAAGCGGAGATGGATGGAGTTTATAGCTACAAACATCCGGCCGCGACTCGTGACGGCTCCTTTGTTTTGTTTTGTTTGTTTATTGATATTTAGGGCAAAAATGCTAAAGGTACCCCAATTTGTACCCCAATTTGTACCCCACCCTATTTTTGTGGCTCACAAAAGCAACTCATTAAAGTGGAGCAATTCATTTATTGAAGTGGGCTTTTGTGAGCCACACAAATAGGTTGGGGTACAAATTGAGGTACAAAATGGGGTACCTATAGCAAGGTTGTATTTAGGGAGGGAGGAGACTTTGTTTTGTTTTGTTTTGTTTGTTTGTTTATTGATATTTAGGGAGGGAGGAGACGGGGTGGTTGGTGAACGAGACGTCTAGTCGCAGTCAGCGCTCTAGTTTCGGCAAATTATACCGTGCAACCGGTATGTGCACGTGATATGTCAGTTGCAATATGGTGCCGTTTTTAATGATAACCTCAAAAATATAGTGCACACTAGCTAGCACTTCACCTCCCTTGTTTCTTTTTTTTTTCTTCTTTCTTTTCATACACTCCACTTATCTTTCCGCCATCGTTTTTTTTTTTCATTCTATGTTTGCTTTAATTTTTTCATTATCAAAAGCAATTATCATATGATTAATTCTACCAAAAGCATGTTAAATTCTAAATTTGACATGAAGGATATCGGGTTGGCCGATTTAATCCTTGGGATTAAAATAATTAGAGGACCTGATGGTCTTACGCTAAGTCAATCCCATTACGTTGATAAAATCCTTACTAAATTTAATAAGGATGATTGTCAAGAGGCAAGGACGTCATTAGATAAAAACGTACACCTTACCAAAAATCGTGGAGAGTGTATTTCTCAAGTAGAATATGCTAGGATTATTGGAAGTTTAGTTTATCTAGTGAGTTGTACCAGACGTGGTATTGCTTTTATGGTTAGTAAGCTAAGTAAATATACTAGCAATCCCGGTGATGAACACTAGAAGGCAATAGTAAGGGTTTTGAGGTATTTACGAAAAAACCCAAAACCTTGGACTGCGCTATGGAAGATATCCAGCTGTACTTGAACGTATAGTGTCGCTAGTTGGATATCTGACATTAAGGATTCAAAGTCCACGAGTGGATATGTTTTCACTTTGGGAGGTGCAGTCGTGTCATGGAAATCCTCGAAACAAACTTTAATAGCTAGATCCACGATGGAATCTCAGCTAATAGCCTTGGATAAGTGCACGAAGAGGCTGAATGGCTACACCATTTTCTCGAGGATATTCCAAGTTGGAAGAAGCATGCCCCTCCAATATGCATACATTGTGATTGTCAAGCGGCAATTGGAAGGGCACAGAGCAATCTCTATAATGGTAAGTTTAGACACGTTCGTCGTAGACATAACACCATTAAACAACTCCTCACAACAGGTGTTATCATTGTTGACTACGTGAAGTCAAAGGATAACATAGCGGATCCGCTAACCAAGACATTGGATAGAGAATTGTTGGAGAAGTTGTCACGAGGAATGGGACTAAAGCCCATGAATTGAAAAGTTCTATAGTGGATACCCAACCTAATTGGTCCTAGGTTCAAAAGGGACAACTAAATTATAGAGCGAAGGATGGTCACTGTGGGAGTCCCGGACTCCTACCCACTCCTCATTGAAACAGTGACTCCCGCACAAGGTTAGCAAAAATGTTTGCTTTAATGATTCTAAATGTTGATCTGCTCGATAACATTGGAAGAGTATGTGAGATACTCGTGAAAGAATCACCTATGTGAGAGAGAAGAAGGTCGCTTCAAAGGAGAACTGTAAAGGCTCGGTTCTTTAGAAACTCTTGCAAAACCAGGACGGTGACCCATGGCCAAAACGGGCACACCCATGAGAAGGGAACAAAGTTGCACACCCATGCAATGTTTACACGACGGCAGTATAGTTCAAGAACATCGAGTCTACTAGACAGCTAGTAAATAAACGTGTCTTTACAGCGAAAGGTTCAAAGGATTAAACCCACCTCTTCGTATGCAAGGATCATCCAGTGAACACAACGTGTCCTATCTTCGTGTCTTTTTAAAGTCTCGAAAATCAATTTTCATTCATGTGGGGGATTGTTGGAAGATGTGTGAAAATTGCATTAAATGGTAATTTTGGGGCAATTTTTGAGTGGGGTCCACTTCCGATTTGGGTCGGATCAAAGTGTTTTTGGATTGCCCTTGCTAAGGGCTACAATTCGATATATGGTACGCTCAAAACGGATAACGGGTGAATGAGAAATTGATTCTCGAAGTTTACCCGTTAGAATGGAAAAACTGGGAAAAAGGATGAGTTTCTAGTGTGTTATTTCCCACACCGGAAAACCCAAGGGATTTGCAACCCTTTATAAAGGGACTCCCCCCTTAAGGAGTTAAGATTCTTAAGGTGAAAGGCTCTCTCACGCGCGTGGGGGGGGGTGCAAATCAAATCCCGAAATGGAAAAGAAAAACCGCAACTTGCGAGCGCGGGCGATCTGCGGACACGAATGTCGTCTCAAAATCTATCTCTCAAGAGATACGATTTAATTTTTTTGTTTTCTTCCCGGTGTTCTTGTGGGGGTCTTCTGTCGCGCAGCTAAACCGTTATAGCAATAAATGTCCAACGTCCTTATCGTTTAATGCAGCGTTAAATGGACAGTTCATGAACGATTCAATGCCTAACGGACTGATCATTGATGTCCAATGTTCAGGTCCATTAATTCACTATTTACACACAACAAATCCTCTTATATAATGGCTGGCGGGTGGTTTGCAACAACACACGTTCTTACACGAGTTCATACACATTCCTCACGTATTTCTTCAGCTAAAAACACCTCTAGCTACCTCTGGAAATTTCCTTCTGCGTTCGTACCTTGTTCTCGTTCGCATGAATTTTTGTTTGTGTGCTCAAACATTAGTTCGTAGTCATCGTATCCTGGGAAACTAACTATTGTTGCAACGCTCCTAGTACCGTGGGAGGCAACAAATACGTTTTAAGGACATCGTGTGCAGCACAAGCTTTGGCTAAATTCCGCTTCATCTCATTTCTTGTTTTTCTTTAGTCATTTTAATTAATTTATTTTAATTAATTTTCTTTATTTTCCGACACACACCCAACAGTTTGTATGCTCTTTATTTGTTTCATCTTGCTCAAGTAGTATATTTAGGTGGGTGACTTTACATTCCTGATCTGCATCATACAAAGTATATAAGATTGCAATCCTGTAAGATAAAAAACATCATTAAAACACCAAATTGACAATTTTAAGCAGTCCAAATTGAAATAGTTTTAAAGGCAAAGTTTATAAAAATTAAAATAGTTCTCAACTTCATTGTCGAATGAAGTTAAGTTTTAACAAAAACCAAAAGAAATATTTTTTCTTCCTAGTGCTTTTCACTACTACCATTGTTTAATGATTATTTTCATTCTCTTGTGCTGGGCATTTTAAAGGAATTGGAACTTCAAATTATCATGAAGTGTTGTATTTCTAGTCAAACCCGTATTTAACAGTTATCAGTTATCAATTAGCATAAGTGCAAAAAAACAATAACATTAATATTTTGCATTAAAAGTCCAAAATATTACCTTTGTTTTGGTGACTACCCCAAACTTTCCTTTTCATGGATATTTCCCAAATTGGTTGCAATCTCCACACTCTGAAATAAAAAACCAAAATTAAGATATTTATGGTTCAGTATGGATAGGAACTTATAAAATTTA